GTTTGTTGTTCACGAAGGAGCCCATCCATTGGCTCGCACCTGAGCCCGCGCCTCGCAGCAGCGGAAATGACGTCAAAGCTGCGGGCTGCGTATTGTTGTCACTTAACGGGAGCGCTCTTTCCTTGCCGACCGAGCCGAGTTCTTAGCCAGCGTTCGCCCGGGCGTATGCAATCCGAGCTGATCTACTCACTCGAGCGCTTGCCCAACTTATCGAGAGCTTCCCAAGCAGGCAGTTTGTGCCTAAGTTCGAAGAGCAGTACGTTTGCCGCGAGCAGATGTCTATGAATGATGTGGAGCATGCGCATAATGATGGCTACGATTTCGAAGTACAGGTGTTCTCGATTGTTTCTCTGAATGCATTCGTGAACGCGCGGGTAGCAATGGAAAAAGCGTCATGCATGTCAGCGAATGTACGGTGGCCCTTATCGAACTACCGCTGAACTGATAACTCCCGAACCGAATGCTTCTCTTTGGAGGTGCGCATAGCGACTAGGATGACTTTGATGTGACCTCATGGAAATTACAAGCATTCCAAGGAATAGAGGAATGCCTTAAACTTCATTGTTTCATCCTCCTTCAGCGCATCATTATTACTCTCGGATGTGTAATGGGAATGATTCCCTCGACGGCGCTCACTCACCTTGTGACGTCGCTCACCGCGGAATGACGATGTGAGCTTCTTACGAGCCCGATCATACAGGTTCTCGGTTCTCGTGCGAATCGAGCGGAAGGATTTCGAGTAACTCAGCATCACGCCCAGCAGCTAGCGAACGAGTAACTGTCAGCAAAAACGCGGCAGCTGCTGTCGTCGAAGTGGCCCGGCGGCGGTGGCGTGCTGCAGCAGCGGGGAAGCAGCGGACGAGAGTGAGTCAGAAAGACCGAAGGAGGACAGTAAAATCAAGTCAAACACAGTTCTCACGAGGCGAGCCACATCGCGGCCACGGAATGGCCATGCATCCTGGTCCCGTTCGCGGGAGTCGCAGACGAAAACTCTGCTGAGGTACAGCGTCGCCGCATGGACAATCCACGGCTGGAGCAGGTCGCCCTTCACCAGGGAACGCCGAGGTCTGTAACTGAAAACTGAGTCGCCACGCTGCAGCTGGCGGGCCAATGCTGCACGGCTTTCGACGCATTCACGCGCGATAAATAAGTTGCGTAAACTGCCCACTGAGTGGCGATATCCCAACGGAAACTCTCGGCCGGAATGCCGTACGATTTTGTATAGGTGATTAATGGCTGTGGCGGTTAATTTCAGACCTCAAAGAGGACTTTCCAGTCACTCTAGACATAATTCGCTTCGGAAAAGGAGAAGAAAAACTTAGGGACCATGAAATGATGCTCATTGTTAAAAGAAGGGAAGGTTTCGGCCCGCATGCATGCGTGCCATTAGCAATCTAAAGCCTCCGAGCCATCCGCATAGGGCCACATCATTTCCTTGGACGCGAAGAAACAAGGAAAATTAGTGTCAGAAGGGGAGCTCATCGTGGCCAAAACAGAGCGACCGCGAAAACGAACCTCAAGGCGGGGCTATAAAGGGAATCAGAAAAGGAAGGGCCGAGGCGCACGCTAGACGGCGAACGGCGAGAAGGGATGGGCGCAGTGGGGACGGAAGCCGGCACGACCGGATTCGTCGAGATCGTTGACAGAGTGTCAATAAGCGCTCGTCAGACGCCCGGTTAACTGATGGTAAGCTGCACTCGGCGAGAAGCTCCCTCGATCTGATAGCGGGCGGGCCAGTCGGTCCGAAGACACCTGCCTTATGACGAGAAACGTCGGACGTAGGAAAATGCAGTCGTCCAGAAGGTAACATATTTACTAAGGACAAATATGCAAGGCCGTGTCGGCTACCCAGAGGATTATTTATGAAAGAGGAAGTATTTTGTCGAATGTCACGCATAAATTGTCACATCACTTGCTGAAACAGTGCCAGAAGCAATATGGCGTGTGAGTGCGAAATTCTAATCTCTATGAGAATTGGAACCGGCAGAACCACGCGTATCGCACTGTTTGTGAAAACTGTGCGCGTGGCGACAAATGTAATAGGCGAAAGCGCAAGTATCGAATGGCCGTATCGCATGGCGTCCGCCCTTTGAGCCGCTGCAGCGGAAATGAGACTTCCAGGTGTGCGCGCTTACATTCGCAATCGTGTGCCAGCAAGAGTCTTAAGTCCACGTCTTCTCTCTTTACGTTGCCAGTCATCCAGAAAGTCGTACCGTCGTACGACTTCTTAGACCAGAATGTCTTCTACATTTCACACCCAGCACAGTTGGCACGGTGCGACCTCTTTCAGTGTAGGATTAGGTAACTCGATAGTTTTAGCTGTTATTCCGCGAATAACAGCTGCTAATGGCGGGGATTACGCGAGTACAACTTGCCCGCCACCTACACGTAATCTTCGGTTTGCAGTTGTAGTGGTAAGCCGCCTCCCGCTGACGCAAAACTTACCGATCTCAACGAGTATCTCCGTCCGGACGCCCGCTTCCCCAACGACGCGGAGGAGGGACTGTCCACGAGGGGTGCCCAAAAGGAAACTCGAGAAGAGAAATGCTCCCGGAGTCGGTGGAAGAGGTGAGAAAGGCGGCGGATGGCACGCCGCGTGGACGAGCGGTGGGACGAGCCTCGCGAGGAGGGCACCGGTGAGAGGGGCGACGTCACCGGACAGGTAGCCGTCGATGGCGACGGCGATGCCATCGAGGAACGGTCCAGGTTGTCGAGCGCTAGCAGTGCGCACTGTGCAGGTGTAGGTGATGCCAGCGTGTGGATAGTGAACGCGGCAGTAAGTGACGTGTGCGCGGATGAAGGAACTGCTACTCCTGGGGCTTCTTTCTTCGCTTTTGGCACGCTCTCAGTGGCGAATACGATTTTTTAATAGACAAGCGTCGCCTGCAATTGTCAGCGGTCTAGTTAGCTGGGAGAAAAAAAGAACGCCATGACTTTTCCGCGAAGCGACCCGAAGAGTGGTTTCGACGAACTCGTATAATTAGGGCGCTAAGCATACTCGGCTACGATCATAATTAACAGTCCGTCGCGACAAGTTGGCATCACAAATGCCATTTTTAGAGCTACTCAAAACGGCGGGCTGGATTTAAACGTGAATTTCGACGGAACACGAGCTTTTGTGGCGAATAGATGACTAGCGGCGGTGTAACTCGCATTGATCAACGCTACGAAAGGCCTGTGGATAATCCCAGCGACGGGCCAAACGGGCTGACGTCGACACAAAAGACCCGCACGATTGCATAAACAACGCGGTGGGAATAGTGAAACTACCGACATACTACCTCAATGTGATTAAAATTCGCTTTCAGGATCCAAAAATGCGGGAAAAAGGTAAGTTCTGCCCGCTTACTAGGCGCGTCCGAGAGGCGTCGGCATATGATAAGCCCCCAAAAAAGTTGAGGAGGCAGGAGATTAGAACAAGTGAACAATTCGTCAGTGGCCGGGCCCCGGCGATGATGCTTTCCGAAGAAGACGCATAATGGTCGGTGAGGAGTGACGGCGGAACGCGCCTGTCCAAGCGGCGAACGTCGAAATCGGACCGGTGCTCCTGCTGGCGCTGGTGCACAGCTGACGGCTGCGCCCTTCCGGTCTCGACGACCCTCGCTGTCGGTGTTAATTCCTCCTTCTCGTCCGCCACCGCAGCCCCTCAAATCGACAGCGATCCTTGTATGAGATCCCATGGAAAAACCGTTCCTCCGAACCCAGTGGGCGGCGCAACCACTGGAGGTAGGCCAGCAAGTCGCATGAATTGCGTCTTCAATCAGCCCTTCATGGGCGCGCTGAACGCCGCCCGTTTGATTTGTCCACGCAAGTAGCCGTAAGCGAAACTGGCAAATACTTGAGCAGTTGTCGAAGGAGACTTAAGAGAACGATCTATCTAACTGCACGACGCCAACATGCGATTGCAGCCAATTACAGGAGCACGGCAATAGCATATGGCCGCTGGACAAACACAAACAGGAGACTACGCAGCGCCAGTGACAGCGATGTATTCGCATGCGCAAAAAGTACAAAATGAGGGGATGGACCCAGGAGACCCCTAACCTTCACAACGCCGCTACTATCCTTCTACCTCTTACGTGCACCGAACGAACAAATGGCATCGGTTGCTCTCTTTCTGGACATACCCAATGCCTCGTAAGACGCATCTAGCAAGCCCTTATTCTGTAGAGTTCCAGACAATTGTTTGTTCGCGGGATTTTCAGCGTGTAAAGATTGTCATCCCGCTCCTAATTAGCGTTAATACCCTGAGCTGATGCAGCAGCAGTGCACGCGGTGCACACCTTATGCGAGTGGGACTTCGATGCACAAGAATAGCATAATTGAATATGGACCGCATCATTCGGTCCAATTGGGCCGAAGCGGACCCACTCTGGCGACTCCTGAGGCTCAGCTTAATCAGGGTTAACCGCCAATCTCCTGCATGATATTTGGTCCCCTACTCTGAAGCTTCATAAACGAGCCCAACACGATGAACTACCATTCAACGCTAGTGGTCAAGACTGTCAAAGTGCACGGTCAGTGCTGACTGACCTGTGCCGACGATGTGGATGCTACGCTATGCAGGGAGTGACCGTCTTCTGCAGTGTGGAAGCTCTCACGCGAGACCTGCGAACTTCGGTTTGAACCCGTCGGTGTTGTGTTGTCTAAAGCGATCAATGTGGTCTATGAAGGCAGCGTCATAACGTCGGAAAAAGGAAAGAAAATAAGGTAGCAAATGCATTGGCAAACAGAAGGGTAACAAACAGGGACAAAACTATTTTTCTTCGAAAGCTAACAATCGTTTCACGATCGCTCGCTACAAGAGGAACACTACGCGAAAACTTGAAAACCCGAAAATTCGCAAAATATTAGCTTCCAGGAACATCCGCTGACTCAATTACGGTGTCCGCAGGACGTAAAAAGGTGCTGATCCCAGTGGGGGTCTTGATAGCTCCTCTGAGTGTCACCGGCACCAACAGTTTGTGTTTACTTAACCGCTAGGAAGTCGTAAAAAAGCTTGATCCCACCGGGATTCGAACCCGGGTCGTCTGATTAGAAGTCAGAAGCCTTATCCACTAGGCCATGGGACCGTCTACGCGACGTGCGCACTATTGCGCCACAATTGTGGACCGGGTGCGGACTGAACTCCATTACCGCTCGGGGTCTCATAAAAGGGCCGGAGACAATCGGGATAAAGGGCCGATCTTCTGATTAGAAGTCAGACGCCTTATCCATTAGGCCACGGGACCGACTACGCGTCGTGCGCACTACGCGCTACACATGCGGACTGAGTGCGGACTGACCTCCATTACCGCTACGTGTTGACGAATTATTTTGAAAGTTTCACGAACACAATTTCACATCCTTAGTTTTCGTGTACCCGGATTCCCGGCTAGAATCGATATTACCAAAAACTAGCCATGGGATGACAAAAAATTTGATGTTTCTGCTTATCAGCAATAATCCAAAAGCTTAGGTTTCAGCTAAACGCTAGAAGTAGGAACGAACCTATGCTGAGCTTCTTCATGTCGTGCATGAGCTCCCGAAGTGCCTTCACCCACTGGATGCGGGTCGCCTGGTTATTCGCTTTCAGCACGGTCAGCATTTCTGTGTGCGGCATGCTGCCCTTGCGCAAGCCGAACTTTGTTGAATCTCCGTCCACGTGCTCCACAATGTGAACTTCGTACAGCTAAAATTAATCCACCCCACGTAAAAAAGTACGCAGTGATTTACCAGAAGACGGTCCTTGAAGACGTAGCGAACTTTCTTAGAAGGCAGCTCCTCCTTCTTCGTGAAAACGATGTTAGACTCGAAGAGGAACACCTGCTGCTCTTTCTCTCGCTTGAAGTACCGCTTCGGCTCCGAGACGAGGAATGCTTCTTGCATTACGAAGTCTCCGATTTTGTACTTCTAAAGTTACAGACGAGACGTTAGTTGGCACCAACGTGCTCACCTCAAAATCCTCGAAGCATTTCAAATGCATGCGATCGTTGGCGAGCTTCGGAATGTTGACAACGACTTCGTAGGCTTTCTGAAAGTTGTGCCGCCATCATAAGAAAGGACGTCATAACTCTTGAGTTTGTGCTTATACATCCACTGACTCACTTTAATTTCGGTTGCAACCTTCGCGATTTCCGTGCTGCCGTAGTCCTTCGACTTGTCGGTGTCGTTAGCAGTTCGTTCGAACATTAGCTTCATGATCTGTTCGATCATCAGCTGATACCGCGTTATGCGTTGGACGGGCTTGATCACAAGTGACGGCAAGTCATGTCGGTGGTCGAGTCCGTGCTTTTCTCGAATTTCCTAAAGTGTTGCGTTTTTGTACGTGAACGAGTGAAACAACTGACCGAGAAGAACTTCATTGTCTCGGGAAGGCAGATCAGCTGATTGCTGTCCTCTTTGTTGAGGCAGTAGTCCGAATAGAGCTCCTTCAGCTTCTCCATCCACACAATGAAGCAGTAGCCAACGTCCTCGGGGTTTCTCTCGTATGATTCCAGCTCTTTGAGGAACGTCCTAAACATTGGTGAATGTCCAATAACCGGAGGAAGCGAGCTTACTCAGAGTGAAATTTGTAGAGCTCTTCTATGTTGCCGAACACTATGCGATCCTTGCCTCGCAGCGTAGGCGGACACGATGGGCCAGCGTCATGGTAGCCCTTGATGTAGACTTGAAGGCAGCGTCGCAAGTCGTCGATGTAGTCTCGTTCCGACTTGAGCAGCTCCTTCATCGGCTCCCTGAGATGATAGCGACGATATTCAGAGTCGGGAGTAAGTGGTAAGGAAATGACTAGTGGTTCGAGACGCTCAGAAATTTGTGGTCGACTTTTAGTCACTCTCTTGTACCACATGGACCAACATCGGTAGTACATTTCCCACGAATACTGGTAGTGGCCGCGTTCCTGGGTTTGACTCCTAGGCCTACGCGTTTTGCGCCGCTTCTTCTTCAGCTCCAGCTCGTCGACGGAGAGTCGTGACGGACGTGCGAGCTTTCCGTTGTTGCAGCTATGCGAGCGGGGCAGCGTGGCGTAGCTCGGCACGGCCTGTGCCGTGTGTTCCATCTCGCGCCAGTGGACACTCCTCGAGTGCTTATGCTGAGGCTTCGATGCTGGCGGAAGTAGTGTCGGTTCGGCAGCAGTGAGACCCATTGTTTCCAGCAAAATAACGTCGCGCGGTGACATTTCTTCTGCAGGCTCCGCAGAATAATCTGGACAGATCATGTTTAGCCGCCGAATAAAGAACTTAGCAGATTCATGCGCGGTAAGCACTTGGATTCGAAGGATTAGCAGCCAAAGAGGATAGCAGATTAAAGTGCATTTCGGAAAACAAAAACTTCAAGGGCGGTCGTCGTTCGTCGCATCTCGTGAACCACACGTTATCAGTAAAATGACAGACCATGGGCGGTCAGTTTTTTTTGCTGCTCACTGTCAAACGAAATGGATAGCTTCAAAAACGGAGATATTTTGCTGCGACTGGAGGAAAAAGCTTAAAGGTTCACCATTGAACCACGTGGGTGGGAAAGTGAAGCCCGTTCAAAAGGCACCGTGGCTCTCGCCAGGTATCGCAGTCCGTTCCCGGCTGCTTTAACCACAAAGAAGGACTTGTGGCCGTTCTTTTTATGGCGCAACTAGCCGGCTTGTGGAACGTCGCGAGCGAGACCTGACCCTTTTGACGCGGGCAGGAGTGGACGTATGCAGTACCGAGAGCGAACGCGCTTTGATAAATATCCGCTGAAGCCTGCAAGACGAGGCGCGAAAGGAAGAGGAGAAGCGAAAGTCTAGACAAGACTTTGTCACGGATCAATCTTAGTCAAATGAAAGACCACTACACTATTGCGCATAAGGTGAAAAGTTGGGATGCATGTGAAATGAGCCTAAACGTCACCTTTCTCTCACAACGACCCTTGAAATACCAAGGTATAGGCCCTTCGAATGAAACCAGGGCCGAATGTCCTTATTTGGGCGGCTACGCCTCAGGAAAGACGCTTCTTCAGCAAGAGTGATGCACGCCGTGAGACACCGCGATGCTCAACCACCGACGACATTCGACGGGGTTCGCGTGCTTGCACTTTCTTCCCGCGCCGCTCTCGCGGAGTTAGCCGCCGGCCGTTGCACGCTTACAATTTTGAGCCATTGTACGCACTTCAGGGCCCCGCACTGTTTGATTTACCCAATGCTCAAAGCGGATCAGCCGACGATGTTCTTTCGCGGAAGCTGTCGGTATTTGCGATTAGGTCATTGAAAAGCAATTCGCCTCGCGCTTTTTACGTGATTGTGTTGTAGTGTCGAGTTACAATGCGCGCTAACGTTTGCTGTGTGGTAGCAGAAGGAGGCAAACCCAAGACGCGCAGCAAATGACCAGTGGGATCGTACTGCCGCTGTGGCAAGGTATCGGTGCCAGCTTGGGCCAGCATACGGATACCGACAACAAATGCGATTTTCCAAGGTCGTATTATTGAGGGAGTGGAGGGGTACTGAAACATACATCATTCGGTTGCTGAAATATTGCGCCTTGTTTGACACGTCCTTCTGCATCTTTTCCTCGATCGTACTATCGCTGTATCGGTCCAGGGAGAGCTCTGCCTTCTAAACGCATCTGTTTGCTGGCTTCTTGACTGCAAATCAAATGGCGAGTGCTAATGCAAGCATGCCGTTGCACGGTAGGTAATATGCTAATTTGATATTGTCCGTCACGTACCGTCTTGTCTTTGTCCTGCGCCATGCCGAGCGCGTGGCTAAGTTGAGCTTGATACTCCGTGAATGCGTCACTGACTCGCTGGAAGCGTTCTCGGACATGCGCCCTGCACGCCAGCACCTCCGAATGGTGGATGTCCTCGACGTTCGTTTGGAGGAAACGCTCTGCGTGCTGCAGGAACCGGCGCACTTCTTGGCGTTCATTCTGAAGTCAAGTACCGGCATAGGGTTAGCGTTTAGTGCCTTACCTTTAACTTGTTTTCAAAGGCTGTACACTCGTCTAGGAACCGCGTCAGCTGATCCGTCGACCTCACTCCATTAAGAGAGGCCGGACGATGCGACGCAATGAAAGCCTCTCCATCCGTCGCTATCCAGATGTAGATCTAAACATTTGGGACGCTCTTGCTCACATCCCAGCTGAGCTCCAACCTTGTCGGCAGACACTAGAAGCAAGGCGACATCCTGACAAATGTCCAGTTGCACCTTCCGCCTCGACCACAGCTCGAGTATCCTCGTCTGACGTTCGCGTAGGTTTTCCTTCACCTTGAGTATTTCGTTCTCGTTGCGTCGAAAGCGTGCCCGCTGCTCGTCGTTTACGGCATACTTCGCACACTTTCCGACGTGGCGCAGGAGCACATCGGCGGTCTTTTGGGCGAATAAGCTCCCCTAAAGCAGGACGTGTTGTTCGGTCCTGATCAAAGTGCGGGGTCGTACTTCAAGGAAACGCTCCTTGCGACTCATGTGCTTGTTGAGCCGGCTGCATATCGCCTCCATTCGCTGCTCGGAGCTGTCCCACTTCTCCACCTTGCAAATGTCCCCGGGATCGGTACGATACTCGCGCTCCATGGAATCCAGAACTGGGAGTGCCTAAATTTGGGCGCAGTAGGAATGCAAACAGCATATATCCAACTTACGTTGACGTGGACGCATTTGAAGTAGGTGTTAGCGGTGGCCAGTAGCTTGGTCCTCATTTCCACGAGCCCAACCAAATGCGCCCAGTTAGACTCCACGTTGTTGCGGAGATCCATCGTCGACTGTCGGTGATGAGGGTCCATGGTAAAGTCGTACACCATCTGAACAAAAATTAACACTACATGAAGTAAACTATAAGCGCACGTTCAGCTTGTCCCACAACGACGGCAGGCTGTGCTCGATGGCCTAAAGTAAAAGAATACAATCAGTGCATGGCAGTGAAGCGCTTACGAGACAGTCATTGCGGAGCTTTCCGAGGTCACGCGTAGACTGCGTAACTTGTTCCGCACTTTCTGGAGGCACATTATCGCGCAAGATCCGTTGTCTTTGCACTTCGATGTTCTCGAGCACTTTGTTGGCGAGCTTCTTAGCGGTGTCGAGCTGAAGGCTCTGCTCGATGCGCTCGGTAACTTCGCCAGCAATCTGTAA